CTGGGTGAATGAGGGGGCCCAACAGGGTCGCTGACATCAACCCCTAAGGGAGGAGGATCCCAGGAACCACGAGAGGGCGGCAGAGAGGTGGTCTGGAAGAGCTAGGAAGGGGCTAGACTAGGTCTTGGACCCATTGCCGTGAGCTGCAATTTGAAGTCCTAAGAGCAAAGAGGGAACCCCGTGCAGTGTGGGAGCAGGGTTGTAAGTCCCCCCAGATGCAGAGTCCCTGTGTGAAGCTCCTTGGCAACAAAGCTGAGGAGAGGGCAAGGTGCGCAGCCTCTCTGTTGGTCTTCGGTGTTCGCGTGAGTGTCCTGGGGCCACCATAACAGGGCACCGCAGACTGGGCGGCTTAAAACAACAGAAGTTTGTTCTCTCCCAGTTCTGGAGGCCACACGTCTGAGATTAAGGTGTAGGCAGGACCGTGCTCCCTCTGAAGGCTCCAGGGGAGGATCCTTCCTGCCTCTTCCAGCTTCTGGTGGTGGCTGTCAGCCCATGGTGTCCCTTGGCTTGTAGCTCATCACTCCGATCTCTGCCTCTGTTGTCACGTGGGCTTCTCCCTGTGTCTCTGTGTCTCTCTTAAGGACATCAGTCATATTGCATTAGGGCCCTCTCTACTCCAGTACGACCTTGTCTTAACTAATTACGTCTGCAAAGACCCTATTTCCAAATAAGGTCCCATTCACAGGTACAGGGATTAGGACTTGACCATATCTTTTTGGGAGACATCATATAAATGGAATCATACAATATGTGGCCGTTTGTGTTTGCCTTCTTTCACTTAGCATGATATCCTCAAGGTTGATCCACGGTGTAGCATGTGTCAGTGCTTCATTCCTTTTCACGGCTGAGTAATATTCCACGGTGGATGGACACATTGTTGGACACTTGGGTTGTTTTCACCTTTTGACTGTTGTGACTAATGCTGCTGTGAGTATTCTTGAACAAGTTTTTGTGTGGATGTCTATTCTCATTTCTCTTGGGTGGACACCTAGGAGTGGAATTGCTGGGTCATATGGAAACTGTATGTTTAACTTTTTGAGGAACCTCCAGATTGTTCTCCACAGCAGCTGCACCATTTTCCATTCCCACCAGCCATGCACAAGGGTTCCAATTTCTCCACGTCCTCGTCAGCACGTTTTATTGTCTGTCTTTTTGATTCTAGCCATCCTGGCTGGGTAAGGTGCTACCCCACTGGGCGTTTGATTTGCATTTCCTAACACTCATGAGGCTCGGCATCTTTTCATGTGCTTATTGGCCATTTGTGTATCATCTTTGGAGAAATGTTTATTCTTGGGGCCGGCCTGGTGGCGCAGCGGTTAAGTGCGCCCACTCCGCTTCGGCAGCCTGGGGTTTGCAGGTTTGGATCCCGGGCGCGCACTGACACACTGCTTGTCAAGCCATGCTGTGGTGGCGTCCCATATAAAGTAGAGGAAGGTGGGCACGGATGTTAGCCCAGGGCCAGTCTTCCTCAGAAAAAAGAGGAGGATTGGCGTCGGATGTTAGCTCAGGGCTGATCTTCCTCACAAAAAAAAAAGAAAAAAAAAAGAAATGTCTATTCTTTAAGTGAACTTTTTGTTTTGAAATAATTTTAGATTACAGAAGAGTTGCCAAGATGGTACGGAGCCTTCCCATGTACCTTCCCCCACCTCCCCTTGTGCTGTGTTCTCACCTTTTTTTTTTTTTCATTATCAACCCCAAAGAACCTTTGTAGATGTGTTTTTCCTTTTCCATGAAATTCTTTATGGGGGGAGGCTACCTATTTTTTTAACTTTTAATTTTTAATTAATTATAGACTCATGAGAAGTTGCAAAAACAGGGCAGAGTCCCGTGTACACGTCACCAGCTCCCCCCAGTGGCATCTCATATAACCATGGCACACTGTGAGAGCCAGCACTTGACAGTGACACCATCTCCGCCATGACATTTTAGTACCACAGATGCGTTAATTTCCTTGGGTCGCCGTCACAAAGTCCCACAGTCTAGGGGCTTGAACAACAGACATGTATTCTCTGGAGGCTGGAGGCTGGAGGTCCCAGATCAAGGTGTGGGCAGGGCCGCTTCCTTCTGAGGCCTCTCTCCTTGGCTTGTAGACGGCCGTCTTCTCCCGTGTCCTCACATGGTCGTCCCTCTCTGCGTGTCTGTGTCCTCATCTTCTCTTCTTCTAAGGACACCAGTCAGATCAGATTAGGGCCCACCCTAATGACCTCATTTTACCTTTTCAAAGGCCCCATGTCTAAATACAGTCACATTCTGAGGTCCTGGGAGTTAGAGCTTCAACATAGGAATTTGGACGGGGGACACACTTTAGCCCATGACAGCCCGTGTGTATTCTATGTGTGGCTGTGCTTTATACATAAAAAGAACACTTTTTTTTTCTCTTCCCCACCCCCTCCAACACCCGGTTTGCACCACCTTAGGGGTGACATCACCCTGGTGGGAACACATCCCCTAATGTTAACATCTTATGGAACATTTATCAAAACTAAGACATTAGCTGGAATGGTGGTTACCAGGGGCTGGGGGCGGGGGTGGGGCGTTATTAATCAACAGGCATCAAGTTTCAGTTTAGCAAGATGTGTGAGTCCAGGGAAATGCTGGACGCACTGTGCCCATGGTCAATACAACACTGTATTGTACACTTAAGATTTGTTATGAGGAGAGAGCTCATGTCAAGTGTTCTCACCACAATAAAATAAAAAAAACCAACCAAGACATTAACGTTGGTTCTGCAGTATTAGCTAGACTACTAACTTTATTCAGATTTCACCCGATTTTCCACTGATGTCCTTTTCCTGGCCCAGGACCCTGTCCGGGATCCCACATGACATGTTGTCATCTCCTCCATCTGTGATGGTTCCTCAGACTCTCCTCATCTTTCATGACCTTGAACCTGGAGAGCCCTGGGCAGGGTTTTGTAGAACGTCCTTCAAGTGGAGTGCGTCTGATGTTTCACGATGACCCTGAGGTCGTGGGTTGGGGGGAAGACACCCCAGGGGGGAGGTGTCCTTCTCCACATGTCAAGTTGTGGGTACCCGATGCCCACCATCATCGCCGGTGACATGAACCTTGCTCACCTGGGGAAGGTGGGGTCCGCCAGGTCTCCCCACTATGAAGTTACTCTTTCCCCTTTATCGGCACTATTTGTTGGAAGTGGGTCACCGAGTTCAGCCCACACTGAAGGGGGGAGGTTAGCGCCACCTCCCGGAGAGAGAAGTATTGAAGACTGTACAGACGTGCATTAAAACTATGATGGTAATTGATCAATATTCTGGGGGTGTGACCTCCAGGCTGAGCGAACATCCAACTTCTCCTTCGAGTCTCACCAGTGAAGCCTCATCAGTGGGTCTCGTCTGCGGGAATTATTGCTGGGATGTTCCCATGGTGACTTTCTATTTCCGAGCGGTGCTTTTTGAAGGTTTCATCCTCGTATCCAGATCAGGCCCGTGGGAGGTGGGCTATTGATTACTCCTGAGTCTGCGGGCGAGTTTGCAGTTGACAAGATTTCACGTCGATGACACCACCTCGAGTGAGCAGGGAGTTCGCATGTGTGAGTGAGGACGAAGCACGACGGCTTCAGGATCTTGATCAAGAGAAGCAGAGCTGGACAGTTGTTTGAGCCGTGGAGACAGATTCAGTTCAGGAACTGTTGCAATGGGCAGTAGAAGCCTCCGTGTAGACTCGGCTCCGTTCCCAGCACAGCACGAACCAGCGGAGGCTTCCAGCCAGGGAGCAGGTGGGGTCGGTGGATGGAGAATTGTTAAGAGGAAACATCAGCGGGAGGGGGAGGATTCTGGCTAAACCGACCTGGCCTGATTCCTGCTGCCGACAGGCTGGGTGGGGGAGGAGGGCTTTGACCAGATGTCCGGGGTGATCAGATACGGAGTGGGGGGGGGGCGGTTCTGGCTAAGGTGACTTAGCAGGGTTCTCGCTAAAACTGAGCAATGCAAAGACAACCTCGGAAGCCCAGAGTTTGAGGCCTAGCTGAGACGAGGGCTCAGGGGGGCCTGACTGAAGTCGGTCAAGGAGAGAGGCCTGTCAGCATGGGCACAGCCCAGATCCCCCCGGAAGGGGAGAGAGCCCCGTGGGTGTGTGGGGAGCTCAGAATCCGCCACGGGCATTCAGGGCCACGGGCTCCTGCTTCTCTCAAGTGAGGACGGATGGATGAGACATCGCGCACCAAGCCTCGCACACAGAAGGCACTCAATAAATGCCCATCACCCTGCTGTCGTTTCAAGCTGATGTGTTCCGGTAACAGCCATTGATTGGCTCACTACCCCGGGTCAACTCTCCTTTCTTTGCTTGCACAGTGACACCCAAATCTAGGGGACATGGAACCAGGATCATGGGTGGGGACAGATCAGTCTCCATCCTTCCCGCTGCCGTGCCAGCAGGGTTTGGTAGAAGAGTCCAGGAGAGATGAGAGGAGGGCCGGAGGGGCGGGAGCCAGGGAGCCAGCTGCGGGGAGGGAGAGATGAATCTGAGACATGCAAGGGGTAGGGGCACCTGCCGGGGTCAAAACCGAGCCTTCCGGAGTTTGAGTCTGGGAGGTCATACTGGGTTGAATGGTGTTCCCCAAATTCGTGTCTACCTGGAACCTCAAAATGTGACCTTATTTGGAAATGGGGTCTTTGCAGACTTAATTACGTCACACTGGAGTGGGGGGGGGCCCTAATCCAATGACTGGTGTCCTTCTGAGAAGTGGAGGACACACAGAGAGAGAAGACGGCCACTTGAAAACGAGGCAGAGTCTGGGGTGATGTGGCCACAAGCCCAGGATGCCTGGAGCCCCCAGAAGCTGGAAGAGGCAGGAAGGACCCTCCTCTGGAGCCTTCAGATGGAGCTCAGCCCTGCGACACTTTGATCTCGGACGTCTGGCCTCCAGAACTGAGAGGATAAATTTCTGTTGTTTTAAGCCCCCCAGTGTGGTCATTTGTTACAGTGGCCCCTTGGCACCAACACAGGGTGCTTCATGATAGAATTTGTGTGCTCTGTAAACTTGGGTGAGTTGGTTGCTTCTAAGACCTTCAGTGTCTTCTTCCATAAAATGGAGCCGTTAAGACTCCTGGCCTCTGTCCTGCTGCCGTTGACCACGTGGTGTGTGGGGGGGTCACCTCAGGTGGTTGAAGGTGTCTCCAGGCCCAGGGTCCGGGCTTTGGGGACAGGCCTGGGTCTGGTCTTCACTCTGCCTTTCCCCTCCCGCAGCTCTGCCTGCCCAGGAACCTGCTTTTTCCCGAGAGGAGAGGAGACGATGGCTGCTGGGTGCCTGCCCCCCCAGCCCCAGGTGAGTGGAAACTTCCTCCCCCGAGAGGCGTCCAATGTGTCCAGAAATGGAGCCCCCTTGCTCTGTGGGGAACTGGGGAGACCTCCCCACAAGTGTCTGACTCCAGGAGCTCAGGCTTCTCGTAAGTGTAGGGAAGACGCCCACTGGGTCCCGCCGGCATCTTTCCCTACAGGGCGGCTGTGCTTCCTTCCTTGGGCTGGGAGCATCTGCCCAGCCTGAGACCCCGCACCTTCCCCCACAGAGCGGGAGGGGCTGCCCTGGAAGGCGCCGTCCTCTTTACTTAAGGAAAAAAATTTTTGTAAATTGTGATGAAATACACATAAAATGTACCATCTTAACCATTTTAAGTGCCCAGCTCAGTGGCATGAAGCACATTCACACTGTTGTGCAACCATCCCCGCCATCCATCTCCAGAACTTTCCATCTCCCCAAACTGAGACTCTGTCCCCATGAAACACTGACTCCCCAGCCCCTCCCCCAGCCCCTGGCCCCACCGTCCACTTTCTGTCTCTGTGGATGTGACTCCTCTAGGGACCTCCTGTGAGGGGATCACACAGTGTCTGTCCTTCTGTGTCTGGCTCATGTCACTGAGCGTCATGTCCTCAGGGTCCATCCACGTTGGAGCAGGTATCAGAATCTCCTTCCTTTTGAAGGCTGAGGACGGCTGTCATTTAATAGTGAGCCTGTCTTAGCAGGTGAGGTGTGTGTATCAGGAGGAAGCTTCGGGGAGCAGAGGCAGCCGTCAGGCAGTTGGGACATCAGATCCATCAGGAGTGGGTGGACGGGGTCCCACCCCCCACCTCGCAGCTTTGGGCGGCAACCACAAGTTTAGGAAGGCAGTTAGTCTCTGCATCAGAAACACAGAGCTGATCCACAGCTCGGTTTCAGATGGACCCCCAGGAGAACAAGCCCTTTCCCGTGGACAATTTGTAAGTGACCTGGCTGGTCCAACCAGCATCCGTGATGTCATAGTTAGGGACCCCGGGGAGGTGTCCTGGATCTGCAGTGGTCCCTGAGTCGAAGCCCTGGGCATTGCACCTGGACTTGCTTTCAGGCCAGCCTGGGGCGCGCTGAGCTGGGGCAGCCCGTGGGGACACTGTGAGGTTTCAGCTCGGCGCCCGTGCGGGCAGTGAGGATCCGTGAGTGCCAGATTCCTGAGAGAGCCCTCGGCCTGTCTTCCCAGCAGTGAAGCAGAGATGCCTCAAGGCCAGACGCTGGGCCCTTCTTGTCTGTCTCAGCGTCCACACGGACCCTCTAACATAGGGGTCAGGCTGGAAGTCGTCAGCCCATTAGCAGCTCAGACCCGCATCTTTAAAACTCCAAAAGTGTTTCTCCACCCGGAGACCGCCTCTCTTCATATCGTCTCATACGTGTTGGAACAGGGTATGTCCCAACAGATACGAATCATAGGAAAAATCATGAGTTATGGAGACTTGTTTGGTTTTTAATATTTAAAGAGCTTACACTTTAATTTGCACACCGGGGCAGCAAAAGGTAAAGAAGTTGTGTCCCACTAAGAATGTTTTTTCCCAGCTTTCCTTGATTGAGATGATCTCTCTATTATGAAATTATAATATATTTACATAATAATAATAATTATATATAATATTATTATCTTATAATATATATTATAATATATAATTATAATAAGTATATTACATTATTATATTACATATTATATTATACATAAATACATTACAGGAAATATATTACATAAATTATACTGTAATATATTACATTACAGTAAATATATTAGAGTAAATGCATCACTTATTATATGTAATATAATTATTATATATTATAATATATATTTATTATAATAAATATATTATACTGTAAATATATTACTATAATAAATATAAAAACAATAATATTTAATACTTTTTATTACACATCCGTATGTAATAGCCACAAATTACAAAGACATGAAAATTTTTTTCCTTTTGTTTTAACTGGAAATTTACTCAAACTCTTGCAGCGAGTTTAGCAATTATAGGGTTAACATGAAAACCGCGGGGAGGAACCCAGCTGGAATGTAGGGGCAGTGGGGGAGCAGCTGCAGCTGGCCAGAAGAAAAGGCTGGTATTTTCTGCTTCCTCTAAAATTTGGAGGCAGCCCTGGGAACTAATGTAACATTTTCCACTCTCGCTCAGAGGAATGAGCAACAGAAACGTTGAGTATTTTTGGTCCACCTCACAGCTCACCTCTGGGGATCTTTGAGCGTTTTCTCCTCCAGGTGGGAAGGGAAAGAGACCAAAGACATCACCAGAACTGTGTTTTTTTTTTAAAAAAACCCTCACTGGGGCCGGCCCCGTGGCTTAGCGGTTGGGTGCGCGCGCTCCGCTACTGGTGGCCCGGGTTCAGATCCCGGGCGCGCACCGACACACCGCTTCTCCGGCCATGCTGAGGCCGCGTCCCACATACAGCAACTGGAAGGATGTGCAACTATGACATACAACTATCTACTGGGGCTTTGGGGAAAAAAAGGAGGAGGATTGGCAATAGATGTTAGCTCAGAGCCGGTCTTCCTCAGCAAAAAAAAAAGGAGGATTAGTGTGGATGTTAGCTCAGGGCTGATCTTCCTCACAAAAAAATAAATAAATTAAAAAACCCCTCACTTCAGTCAAAATGGCCAACACCAGCCAGGGGGTCCAGCACGCCCACTCTTCTGGGGTTGGATCTGTCATTTTCAGATTCTGTGGGTAACTTGACAGACACCCAACGTTCCTCATGTCCCCTCGGCATGCCTTTTCCCAAACAACGCTCTCGCCATATTTCAGCGAGTCAGGCGAGGTGGCAAATCCCACTTCTTACTCTGTCCGTGCCTTGTAACGAGCCACTCCAAGTCATGGTGGCAGAGAACCAGTTTTCGCTGACCTCAAGTGTGGAGTGAGGGCCTCCCTGGTCATAGGGATCGCTAGGTGTGGCGTCTTGGTTCTCTGCCATATCAGTAGCGGTTGCCATGACCGATGTGAAATAATTAGCCCTCGCTGCAACACTGTGGGGTTGAAATCGTTGTTTCCATTGAACAGATGAGGAGGCCAGGCCTTGGAAGGGTCAGTAATATACCCACCGATCCATAACCGTGGAGCAGCAGAGCCACGGATCTGTCGATTTTCGGCATAAGCAGTGGAAGGTTCTCAAGTGGGAATGTCATGCTCACTGATACAGAACTTAGAATCGTCAGAAAGGGGCAAAGTATTTCCGTCAGAGCTGTGTCCTGGCTGTCTTTGCAGTGTTTACAGGGGGCCCAGGGCCTGTACATCCCTCTGATTGTAAGCCGGAGACGAGTACCCACAAGGCACTAGCAGAATCTGACATCTGAACTTTGCACTCTGCTCCGTCTGAAGCCCCCGGTGCCACCACCCTCTGCCCCCTCCTGTGAGCGTGGGTGGGGATAGCCCTTCTTGAGCAGAACCAATGTGATCTTTTAGGAGTTGGTGACTTTCCAGGACGTGGCCGTGGACTTCTCCCAGGAGGAGTGGGAGCTGCTGGCCCCTGCTCAGAGGACGCTCTACAGGGAGGTCATGCTGGAGACCTGCAGGAACCTGGCCTCCCTGGGTAAGACCAGCGTCCTTCATTCACGCGCTCGCCAGTTCACACTTTCTTAGCATCTCCTGGGTGTCAAGAGCTGTGTTAGGAAGTGGGGATTTGTTGGTGAGAAAGACAGCACACACAGAGCCCCCCACAAGGACAGGGGCTCACGGTCTGTCGGTTTCTCCAACACAATGAATAACCTGATTTCTTCTGTCTCTGATAGCCGGAGCTGCCGTTGAAATGTGTGTCTTAGCTAAGGTGTGGATAATGTCGCTGATTCCTTTTGGAGACAGAGCCAGGGCATTTGTACTCTCTCTGCCCAGGAGAAGAGCCATAATTAAAAGAAATTTTTTTATTGTGGTAAAATATATATAACATAAAATTTACCTTTTTAACCATTTTTAAAGATTTTTTATTTATTCATTTTTTTCCCCCCAAAGCCCCAGTAGATAGCTGTACGCCATAGGTCCGCATCCCTCCAGTTGCTGTACGTGGGACCCGGCCCCGGGCTGGACGGAGAAGTGGTGCCTCGGGGCGCGCCCGGGATCCGAACCCGGGCCGCCAGCATCAGAGCGCACGCACTCAACCGCCAAGCCACGGAGCCGGCCCACCTTTTTAACCATTTTTAAGTGTACAGTTCTGTAGCATCAATTACATTCACAATGCTGTACAACCATCAGCACTGTTTCAAAACCTTTTCATCACCTCAAACAGAAAGCCTGTACCCATTAAGCAATAAATCCCCGTCCCCTCCCCCAGCCCCTGGCTCCCACCATCTACTTCCTGTCTCTGTGGATGTCACTCTTCTAGGGACCTCCTATGAGTGGAATCATACAATGTGTGTCCTTCTGTGTCTGGCCTGTTTCACTTACCATAATGTCCTCAAGGTTCATCCATGTCATAGCATATATCAGAATTTCATTCCTTTTTATGGCTAAATAATATTCCATTGTATGGATGGACCACATTTTGGTAATCCATTCATCCATGGATGGACACTGGGTTGCTTAACCTTTTGGCGATTGTGAATAATGCTGTATGAACATGGGTCTACAAATATCTCTTCAAGTCCCTACTTTCAACTCTTTTGGGTCTATACCCAGAAGTGGAGTTGCTGGGTCATATGGTCATTCTACGTTTGGCTTTTTGAGGAACCGCCAGACTGTTTCCCACAGCGGCTGCACCATTTTACATTCCCACCAGCAACGTAGGAGGGTTCCATTTTCTCCACGTCCTCTCCAATACTTACCTTCTCTTTTTGCTTTTTAAAGATATTCTAGCCATCCTAATTGGTATGCAGTGGCATCTCATTGTGGTTTTGATTTGCCTTTCCCTAATGACTAATGATGTGAGCGTCTTTCCACGCGCTTGTTGGCCATTTGTATCTCTTCTTTGGGGAAATGTAAGATCCACAATTTTTTAATTAGGAAAATAAAATCTTTAGCTTGGTCAGCGTGCTACCACTCCATTGACTCTTGTCTCTTTCAGAAGCCTTGAAGAACCAGACTATTGATACGGGCATGGAGGATGGTACATTTTCCCCAGCACAAACCTCTCAACTCACCAGTCTTTCCCCATGGACAGGGTATTCACTCTTTCGACCAGCAGTGTCTTTCCACTTGGAGCAAAGAGAAGCCATGTGGATGGGGGAAAAAGGAATTCCCCAGCCTGCTTGTTCAGGTGAGAATCGGGCAGATATGAGCCATTGGGATGGGGGCAGCGTCATGGGGATGGTTGCTCAGAGATCTCTCCACAGAGGCCCTAATTGTGAAATGAGAAGGCCAAGGTCCTTGGTGGCGCTTTCTCAGATCCCTTCAGTTCCCTCCCCAACAACCTTCTCCTTCCATGTACTAGCTTCTGCTTCCTCTCTTTGGGTGCAGAGAAAAGAACATTCCATTTCCTTCTTGAGGCCATTCTACCTGTGTTTCTTGTTGCATCTCTTCCCTCTGTGCTTTCTTGATAATTCTTTCTCTTTGCTGTCCTTATTCCAGCTCTTTGTAGAGTAGTTCCTTCTGCGTTTACATTTTTTCCCATTTTCCATCGTTGTCAGACTTCTTAGGCTGCATCCTGTTCTTGGCACACCAGCCTACTGATCCGTCTCTCTGTTTCCTCTCCTTCCCCTTGAAAGTTGAAATATCAGCGCTGAAATATCCGTTGAAAGCTGATATTTGCCAATGAATCCACACACGCCTTATATATGTTGGAAATACTTTTGTCCCACCATTCTTACGTTAGAAATTGCTTTCTTTTTATTCTCCCTCAATTTATTTCAGATTGGGAGAATAGACTGAAAAACCATGAGTCAATTTACAAGAAGGTGGTTTGGCGGGAAGAACCACCCGGTGGTATGAACATCATAAATCTCCCCAGAGAAGACTGGGGATGTGGTGAACTTCAGAAGAACCGTGAAGACCCCCGGAGGCTTTTGAGGCAAATGGCGTGCATCCACGTAAAGGCTTTTGCTCAGGAGAATGCTACTGCCTGGTGTGAATTTGGGGAAAACTGTAATCTGAGCTCAGACCTTGTTTTATCACAGGGAGATTCTATAGGAAAACATTTCCGTGACTGTGACCTAGATATTGAGAATTGGGTAGCTGATCCCTTCTTAAACCATCATCAGATGGGCTATACAGACCAGAGACCCTGTGAAAGTGACGAATGTGGAAAAGACCTCGGCCAAAATGGTCCCCTTATTCAACACAAAAGCACTCAACCAGGGGAGAAAACGTCTGCATATGCGGAAAGTGGGAAGTCATTTAATCGTGATATGGCTCTCGTGATACACAACAAAATGAACACAGCGGAGAAGCCCTTCGAATGTCACCAGTGTGGGAAAGTGTTTAACCGGAGGCATTCCCTGAGTGAGCACCAGAGAATTCATACAGGAGAGAGACCATACGAGTGTCAGGAGTGTGGAAGAGCCTTCACGCACAGCTCCACCCTCACCCGACACCTGAGAACTCACACTGGAGAGAAGCCCTACGCGTGTGGGGAGTGTGGGAAAGCCTTTAACAGGATTTCGTCTCTTACCCAACATCAGAGGATTCACACGGGGGAAAAGCCTTATATGTGCAAAGACTGTGGGAAATCCTTCTGCCAGAGTTCTTACCTGATCCTGCACAAGAGAACGCATACGGGCGAGAAGCCCTACGAGTGTAACAAATGTGGAAAGGCCTTCAGTGACCGTTCGTCTCTTAACCAGCACGAGCGAACTCACACGGGTGAGAACCCCTACGAGTGTCATCAGTGTGGAAGGGCCTTCAGCCAGAGGTCTTCCCTGGTGAGGCATGAGAGAACTCACACTGGAGAGAAGCCATATAGCTGTAATGAGTGTGGAAAAGCCTTCAGCCAGAGCTCGTCTCTTATCACCCATCAGAAGACTCACACTAGTCAGAAAACCTACAAGATAATTGACTGTGGGAAAGCTTTCTATCAGAGCAGCCACCTTCTTGGATTTTAGAGCTTGCTTGCTGCCCTTTAAAGTGCCTTTTGGCACTCTACCACGTAAATATTTTTAGACTTTGCCCTTCTGGTGTACTACTGAAAAGAAGAAGGTTTATGCCACATTCTTGAAGGAAAGCACTGAGGTCCAGATCTGAGAAGGGGCCATTTAATGAGGGAAAATGCCACTGAGCTGTACCCAATGAGCTCCATTCTCTTGGAAAAGATTGGTAAATGGGAACACTAACATGGAATGGGATTGTGCTAAGAATTATCACGTTAATTTAGTTGTTGAGACAAAAGGTATTCTGTTGCAACTTTTTGTTTCAAAAATCAATATTTTTGTTTCAATAATCTGTGTCAATAGTTTACTTAATCATTCCACCCCTGTTGGTTGCTTAGCTAGGTCCTGACTTGTCTCATGCACTACTATGGCTATGAGAGCGTACACGAAGACAGAAGCACCTTGGATGCACGGTGAAAACTAAAGAGTGCAAAATAGTGTGTGTAATTTTATCCAGTGAAGTAAAAATATCTACACAAATGGACAAGGCTGGACAGAGATGTGGAGAAATGAACAGAGTTTATCTGTCAGGGTTATCTGGTTATGTGTGATTTTCTGCATTTTGCCATTTTGTTGGGTGTTGCTATAATCATTCTGACAGTAATTAAAAATCAAACAACCCCAGGGGATTTCGAGTTTCATTGATCAATGAGGGAGGATTGTGGGTACCAAGATGGTAGGGATACAGTGCAGGAGGACTTGGGACAGAGAGAGGATGAGTGACCTTTGGTGGCCTGGGAACAAACTGTGAGATGTACTCACTGGAGTAGAGACCAAGAGCACTGATTTGCATCACCAACATCAACATTTTTTGGGTGCATGCTGTATTCCCGGCACCATTGTTGCACTTGTGTTTCCTTGTTTAACCTTCTCAACAACCCCATGAGATAGCAGCTCTTCCTATCCCCATATTACAGGCAAGGAAACAGAAATAAAATAACTTGCCCAAAGTCACGCAACTAGAAAGTAACAGAATCTGGATTTGAACTGGAGCAACCTGTACAAAACCAACCACACATTTGCAAGGAGGGATACAGGGGAGCCATGTTTTCCAAATTCTCCCTTAGAAGCCATCCAGCTTTTGTCTCAATCTTCCCCTTGCCCTGGAGCTAATGAGGGAGATTGCCTGTCAGATCTCCTTTCACCTAAGTGGGACCCGATTGTGTGAATATTGTGGCCTTTCCCTACAGTAGAGATCCCTTATCTGGGGTCTGTGTAGACCCTACTGTGTTGATGGATAAATTTCTTGAAGGGGTCTATGAACAACCTCGAGCTGGATGCACCATGTGTGTTGGGGCGTACGTGTGTTTTCTGGAGGAAGCATCTATAGCTTTCATCATGTTCTTAGGAATTGTTAACTTAGAGTTGTCTTGAGTGCACTGTTTTCCAGTCTTGATTTCTCCCTCCCTCCAACAACTATTTATAGAGAACCTGAACTCTTCGTGGTGCCAGGTGGCTGAGTATAAGACAGATGAGGTGTCTGCCCTCACTAAATATGTATTCCGGTAGTAAGGAAGCAGGGTGGCTTTATGGGTCATGATCTGTGCAATCACCCAAGGCTACACTCTCAGAAAAGTCCTGCGATTGGTTGAATCCTCTGCTGTATCCATCTCAATATTAATAATTTTGAACAAAGTGTCCCCCACCCCCATTTTCATTTGGCAGTGAGCCCTGCACGTTATGTAGCCAGACCCCTGGAGGAGTGAGGGGCAGGGACAGATGTTAAACAAGTAACCAAATACTTTAATTAAACAATTACAGATTTTGGTAGATGCTCTGGAGGACATAAACAGGATGCTGCTGTGACAGATAATAAGAGAGGGACCAACTGCAGGTAGGGCCTTTCCTAGGGCCTGATATTTAAGTTGAGATGTGAATCATTGGATCATCCAACATGAGGAATTTAACCAGAGGGGACCTTCTGTTCAGCTTTGTTTTCACTTGTGGTGGTGGTATGATCATTTTCTAAATATTTATCATTTTTGTTTCAATTTATCTCACTCAAATGTCTTTTGACAGAGAATATATTTTTTAAACTTCTGGATGTTTAAAGATCTTTTTTCCTCTCTTTAAAAACAAATTCTTTTTCTTGTCTTTTTGCATTGACTCATTCCTCCAGGAGTGTTGAGAATAGATCTCCTTGTTTTATTCCTGATGTTTTAGCATTCAATGTTTCACCATAAAGTATGATGTTAACCGTGTTTTTTTCATAGATGCCCTTCTCTATTCTTTTATTACTTTTCAGCTTTTATTATGCTGTCATCTGAGAATGTGTCTACTGTCATGAATGTTTGAAATTGAGTGAGGTTTGCTGTGTGGCTTATTATGGGATCGAGTTTTAGAAGTGTTCCCTAGACCTTGAGAAGAAGCTCTATTCTCTGCTTTTATGATTTAGAATCTGGCTTGTCTGTTACATCAATCTTATTAATTGATGGTTCTCAAATTTCACGTTAGGAGGTTCAGATTTAACAAGTGAGAGAGTCAGAGCCCAGGAATAGGCATTTTTAACAAGCACACCAGGTAATTTCACGATGCTCCTTCTCTTTCAATGACACTTTGAGAAACTCTGCCTGTCCTTGATTGTCCTTAGATTGTTGATTCAAAAATAATTAGCTCAAGGGGCTGGCCTGGTGGTGCAGCGGTTAAGTGCACACACTCCACTGTGGTGGCCTGGGGTTCACAGGTTCGGATCCTGGGCGCGCACCGACGCACCGCTCATCAAGCCATGCTGTGGCGGCGTCCCATATAAAGTAGAGGAAGATGGGCACGGATGTTAGCCCAGGGCTGGTCTTCCTCACCAAAAAAAAAAAAAAAAAATTAGCTCAAGAGAATTAAATTACAGTTTCCTATTGCTATTGTGCTAAATTTCCTTCAGTATTTTCTGCTATTTTTGCTTCTTCTTTTTTGATGTTTCTGTTTCTGTTTTTTTTTTTTTTTCTTTTATTTGGGGTAAATATTTCATGATGGCTCTTCATTGGGAATTATACTCTGTTTCATTTTGAAGTGATCTCTTTGTCTGCTTTAATTAATAGCCTGTCCTCTGCTTTTTAAACAAAAGTAATCTGTTTCTGGTATAAATTTTCACCTGCTTTGAATTTCAGCTTTTAAATCTGTGTCTCTCATTTTTAGCATATAGTTGGATTTTGTTGGCTTTAATTCTGCTAGTGTATTTTATGTCATTGTTCTTATTTATTTATTTCTTTATTTGTGAGGAAGATCAGCCCTGAGTTAACATCTGCCAATCCTCCTCTTTTTGCTGAGGAAGACTGGCCCTGGGCCAACATCCGTGCCCATCTTCCTCCACTTTATATGGGACGCCGCCACAGCATGGCTTGACAAGCTGTGTGTCGGTGCGCGCCCGGGATCCGAACCTGCGAACCCCGGGCCACCGCAGCGGAGTGCGTGCACTTAACCACTATGCCACCAGGCCAGCCCCCAATTTTTCTTACTTTTGAAACTTTATCTTTTATTTGTATTGGAGGAGTGTGTTTCTTTTACGGTAATTTAAAAGGTGTATGACCTGTTTTAATTTCTTTTGGTATTTCATTTTATTACATTTAAACATTACAATTAAACATATATTGTCATTTATCAACATTAAGCCATTTTTGAAGGATAAAATAGTCAAGTTGCAGAATATGTATATCATAATGGCATTTTTATAAAATTTGAAAACAGGGACAATAATATGATATACAGTTTATGAATCCATATGTATGGCACGGCAGTAATATCAGAAGTTCGTGATTATGGTTTCCCCTGGGAGGAGGTGGAGGGGAATGGGATCCTGGAGGTGACACATGGAACATTTCAACTCTATCTATGATGTTTTCTTTCTTTCAAGAAAACTGATAGAGCATAGTAAATGGGTAGGATTTAGGAAAGCTTAGCAGTAGATGTATGAGGATTCAAGATGTTATTTCCTGCATATTCTGTATGACTGAAATGTTTCACAATAGTTCTGAAGTATTCCCCCTTCTCCCGTGTTGTGCTTATCATTAATATATGCCTTCAGGACGAATGCAGAAATCAACTGTCCTAACGTTTTCCAAATGGATACTTATGGTTTGGGATAACATTTTCTGGTCAGAACATCATCTATCCCAAAAGAGCTATAGAGTCACGCACCGCATAATGACGTTTTGGTCAAGGCCTGACTGCATATAGGACGGTGGTCCCATAAGATTGGTACCATACAGCCTGGGTGTGTAGTAGGCTGTATATACCGTCTAGGTTTGTGTAAGTACACTCTATGATGGTCGCACACCAACGAAATCAGCTAACAACTCATTTCTCAGAATGTATCCCCATTGTTAAGTGACACATGACTGTATTTCAAACAAAAAGACACAAAGATGTTGTTCTCTGAAAAGCTGTGAGATCATGCAAGATGTATTACAGTATGAGCAGAATCATGTTGAAGGAGCACATGGAAAGTTCAGAATTGTCTCATGAAAGATACAATTGGGAACAGGAGTTACTTGTGCCAATTATTAAGCTATTGTATCTTTGCTTCAGACCCACTGTATAAGTTTCCTGGGACTGCTGTAACAAATTGGCACAGATTTAGTGACTTAAAACAACCAATTTATTCTTGTAATAGTTCTGGGGTCAGAAGTCCAAAATCCAGGTGTGTGCAGGGCTGTCCTCCCGGAGGCTCCAGGGAGAACCGTCTCCTGCCTTTTCCAGCTTCTAGAGGCCGCGTCCTGGGCTCGGGGCCCCTTCCTCCGTCTGCACAGCCCGCAGCGCAGCGTCTCCCGTCTCTCTCTGCGTCTGACCCTCCTCCTCCCTCTGATGAGGACCCTGTGGTGACACTGGGCCCCCTGGGGATCCAGGGTCATCCCCCATCTCAGGGTCCTTAACTTAATCCCATCTGCAAAGTCCCTTTTGCCACGTAAGGTGACATAATCACAGGCTCTGGTGATTAGGATGTGCACACCTTTACCGGGTCTGTTATTCCACTGACCACATCTACCCTTTCATACTTTGCTCTGTGACATGGTAGAGAAATGCTACAAACCACTTTTCTACTTTGCCAGCGGCTTCCCATTAAGCCCTGCTAACAAGTCTTTGGAGGGAGAGTGGAAGGCTGGAGGAGAGAGAAGGGAGAAGGAATTTGCTCCTTCCTGTCTCTGTCACTCCTTGCATGTCTGAGACTGTCTTTGTGACCTCTACACATGCATAACATCCCAGCATGGTCTAAATATCTTGAATCACACTTCTTTTCCCTCAGATTGTCCTAATTGTTCCTCTTCTCTCTTGTGGCAATGAGTGCTTTGTGAAGAATTCAGAGACCAGCCTCATTTTCACCCTAATCCATGAAATGACATGTTCTTTAGGAGAGTTGCTCACAGGATGTCTCTCTGAACACATTATGACAGCCATGCTAGAGGTACCTGCCAGCACCCCATCTTAAGGCAGAGTTCCAAATTCCATGCTATTTTTTTTTTTTTTTGAGGAAGATTAGCCCTGAGCTAACATCTGTTGCCAATCCTCCTCTTTGTGCTGAGGAAGGTTGGCCCTGGGCTAACATCTGTGCCCATCTTCCTCTACTTTATATGTGGGATTCCTGCCACAGCATGGCTTGATGAGTGGTGCATGGGTCTGCGCCTGGGATCCGAACCTGCAATCCCCAGACCACAGAAGTGGAGTGCACGAACTTAACCACTACACCACCAGGCCGGCCCCCATGCTGATTTTTTTAAAACTTGGCATTCATTATTAATTCATATTAAACAAAAAATGCATATAACCATATTTTATTTTTAATAGTTTATAAATCCAATGAGTAATTTATTTTTAACCCAAACCTGCTTAATGTGTTAATCCTCTAAACATTAATTTTTATGAAAGTGTCGGGGGAAGAGGGAGAATCTCGCTCTGCCCTTTCCCTTAAGGTTCTTCTGGCTGGCCAAATAATCAACAAGACAGGTTAGCAGGAGAAAATAATACCAAGTTTAATAACATGTATACATGGGAGAAACTCAGAAATGAGCAACTCGTCCCTCTGTCTAAGCTGCTTGCTTAAGTATTGCAGCTAAAGGCGAAGGAACGTGTTGGGGGCGGGTAGTGGCCTGGGACTTCAGAGGGCAGAAGGACAATTCTTTTCAGGGTCATCTATTGATAATTTGGTCAGGGAGAGATAGAGTTTTTTGATAAAAGGGGCTTGGTGCCCCTCCCATTGCAACATCTATTTTACATTATCTTTATAGCCATCATGATAGAAGATCTGTTCCAGGAATGAGCCACCATGCCAGATTCTCTAGGCAGTTAGTGGGGGAGGTCAAATATCCTTATTGTCTTCAGCTCGAAATAATCCACATACCAGAGTGGTGCTTCCTGGGGCAGCTTGCCCTGAGCACCATCAAAAGTATATAAAATATTTTTGCAAGCCATAAAAAACAAACTTTTAAAATTCTGTTTGTAAATAAAATAAGTGATATCAGGGTTTGGACATCCACTTAATCTCTAAGGAGAGAATGTTTTCTAAAAGGAGAAGGCATATTAAATACATTAGGTTTTTCACCCCCATCTATTAAGTGTATTCAGAGTTTTCAGGTCCATCTCAAACTTATAGAAGCTTGTTGTTGTTTTATATCAGTTAAAATAGAAATTCAATTGCCTTAGGGATATAACAGCCTTTTAAAAGATAAAACTTTTTAAAAAATATTACGGTAAAATCATAACAGAATTTACCATCTTAACCATTTTTAAGTATGCAGTTCGGTGGTATTAGGTCCATTCATACTATGGTGTGTGGGAGATCAAGATTTGGCCACCCTGAAATATATCTCTTTACCTTATTGTTTTCTTTGAGGGACATTTGACCTTCCCCACTAACTGCCTAAAGAATTTGACATGGTGGCTCCTTCCTGGAATAGATCTATCATGATGGCTGTAAAGATAATGTAGGATAAATGTTACAATAGG